ATTAATAAAAATAAAGGAAGAAGTGATAAATAGATACAATAAAGATAGTACTATTAGCTCAAACTTTCTACATTCTCTCATAGTCAATTGTAATAAAATATGATTCATATGCTACTGGACTCATTGCATACGTAACTTACATTTTTGGAATGAGAGAGTTTGAATTTCCTAACAACATAATCAGGTAGAGTCCTGTCTTCAGGTAGAGCCACAACATTAAATGATCCATACATGTCTTCTTCATTAGGATTAACAGGCCAGTACTGGACTGACTGCTCCTAGGGAGAGAGAAAGAGGAAGGGAGGGGAGGGAGAGAGAGGGGGGAGGGGGAGGGAGGAAGAGAGAGGGGGAGAGGGAAGGAGAAAGAAAATGAAGATGAAAAAAAGGAGAAATAAACATAAAGGAACACACACAAAGAAAGTAGAAGACAGGTACAATATAAAAATATTTAAATCATAAATTGACATATAATTAGATAAACCAATCTATACCTCTCCATTCTCCTCAGTGTTTGTTAACATTATTATGATCATTGACTTCATTTCCCAGACCATCCGCCAGAAGTCACCAGCAGTGTTCTTCATTGGACCCTGTGTAGCTATGAACGCTGACCTCTGACGATATCCCTAAAGTATAATAGAAAATAAGTACAGTAGTGTCAGAGATGGGAGCATAATAGAATAAGTATGGTAGATATGAGTGTGTATAAAGAGAAAGAGAGTGAAGGATAGAGTTATTGTACATGTACATTAGCTTAAAATATAAGTTTTTTCCTTGTGTGGGACAAATTGTACATGTACTGTAAATTTCATGAACAAAGTAAGCAACCATGCCCAAAATGAACACTATAGTGTACATGTACATTGATACAGTATTTAAATTATACATTCACTTACATCAACATAGCTGGCACAGATGTAATCGGAGTCATAATTCTTAGTTGATAGAACAACACGATAATCATTAGCTAATGACAAAATAAACAAACAAGTAAATCAACAAATCAACAAACAAATTAAGTAATTAATTGAATGTTTATTAATAATAATTACGTGGTAAATGTTCCTTCACTCTGCTCTTAGCAAGATTATCAGATAACTGCGCAATGGAGCAATCAAAATCATCATCAGTCGGACTAGAAGACTCAAGAGTCTATAGCAACAAAAATACAGCAATGAATTAAACATGATGTACATGTATATGCAATAAAAGTATTATTATTAATAATAGATATTGAATATTTACGTGTATTAATAAGTATATAGCTAGATATGGTAGACGACATATACATGTACTAGTTAATGAGTAATAATAAGGACAACAAAGTGTACATGTACATTTATACATGT